TGCCAACTTGGGCCAGTGAAGCAACGTCCTCCACAACTAGACTGAAGAACAAAACAACAGCAACTTGTCTGTTCCCCTTCTCTCAGTTCCCCAGCACTGTTCCCATCCCCCCAATTCCCCAATAAAAATCTTTAAAAAAAAAAAAAAAAAAAAGATATTTCCAGGGCCAGCCGAGTGGCGCATTGGTTAAGAGTTGGCTTGGGACACCAGCTCTGAGCAGCAGGGCCCCAGTTCGGATCTCACGTGAGGGCCAGTGACACTGAGCCCTCTACAGCTAAGATGGTGAACCACAGCTCGACCTGGAGCTGGGCTGCCATGAGTCGCTGGCGATGGTGTAGGCTGCAGTGAGGCTGGCTGGCAGCTGGCATGAGCTTTCATGAGCTGCCGTGAGCAGCCGTCCAATGGCAGGCAAGCGACTGCCTCACCCAGGAAGAGCACAATGATAACACCAACATAGGCCAGTGAAGCGACGTCCTCCACAACTAGACTGAAGAACAAAAGGACAGCAACTTGTCTGTCCTCCTTTCCTGATTCCCCAATGCTGTTCCCCTCCCCCAATTCCCCAATACAATCTTTTTTTTAAAGATATTTCCAGTAAACATTAAAAAAAAAAAACTTTATTTGCTAGACATATTGGAAATATCATGTCTGTGCTTTCCAACTTAAGAAATGTAAAGAAGCTTTCACCATTGTTAGGTAAATGCTAAATGAGGAATGGAGTAAACAAAATAATTTGTTTTTCAAATACTGATATAGGATTTCATGAAGTGCTGAGCAATGAAAGAACTTCTGGTTATACGAGGGAGCACAACCAATTAAGTGGTTGGTCTTCAGATGAAAATGAGTGGAATGAAAAACTCTATCCAGTGTGGAAAAGAGGAGACCCGAGGTGGAAACACTCCTGGAAAGGTAAGCCAAAAGATTCAACCCAAAAATAAAACAAAACAAAAACAAAACAAAGAGTCAACTCAAACAATTGTCATTTCCTACTTTAGCCTCAGAGATTCTAGACTTGGAGATCATGTCCCTTACGTTTCTCCTGTGAATGACATTGGTTACCAAGTGGGAGGCACATGGATTTGGCAATTTTTCCTTTATCTCAACATTATCACTTTCTAAGCCACACACAAGCACACACATACAACAGTTTGATCTCCTAAGAATTTACAAGTTTGTAATTCTTAGAAGATTTTGGTGAGCAAGTGTAGCCTCAAAACTATTTAACTAATGTGTGAATGGTCACCTTCAGAATATCAGTTTTTGACGATCTCAAATGTGTGGTCTGTCGGAAAGTGAGTATCTTCATTCACATGAACGAATGACTTCAATCAGCGGTTTCGAGATGAAAAAAATACAAACCTTTAATACTTGTCTCCTCGACCCAATTGAGCAGATTTTAAAATTTTAACTAAATGTTCTTTCTGTGTTGAGAGAATTCTTTAAATGATCTGATTTCTTCTTTTTTTTTTTATTCATCTTGTAGATGTTGTACTCTGAAAGCAAAAGTTAGGAAGATAGAAAATAAATGAATGTGTCATAAAGAGGCATGAGGATCCTCTGATTGATCCTTATAAGTAGATTTAACTTTATCAGTGGAAGGAAAGAGGGATGCTTGGTCACTGAGCCCCACTTTTCTCTGTTCCAGGAGGCAATGTGCAGGTGGCTCTGACCAGTGACTCCCCAGCACTCGTGGGCTCAAATATAACATTTGCAGTGAAACTGGTGTTCCCCAGATGCCAAAAGGAAGATGCCAATGGCGACATAGTCTATGAGAAGAACTGCAGAAACGGTAAGGAACATTATTCATGTTACAAAAGCACCCTAGTTCTCCAAACTACTGGATACAGTGGTAGTTCTCCTGGACTACTGGAGATCCATCTCAGAAACCTTAACACTCACAGGTATTTCTGTGAATGCAAGATGCTGCTATCATCCCATGTCACCCTCTCCTCAAGCTGGATGACAGGGAGGGTGAGTGTGTACTTTCATCCAGTCCCTTTGTCACCATCATCATTAGCCAATGCCACTTCAGCAAACTGGTGACTCTCCACTACTTGGAACCCTTCTCAAAAGCTATATTGTGACACTCAGCTTTTTTTTTTTTTAGTGTCCAGTTGATTGGACAGAGAATGCTTTGTTGACGCTCAGATTTTTATTTTATTACTCAGAATTCTTTTGGCTACTCAAAAAATAACCAAATTGACAGGTGTTTGCTGATCGTATTAATTTCTTCCCACAAGTATTTTCTTAAGCAAATGCTGTGTGACTAGCACAAATGCTAAAATGCATATATTTTGGATTTGTTTTGCTTTTAATTAAAGACGTAAGCTCTTTGTACATGTTAAAGAGCACAAATGAACACAAATACATTAAGGGAAATTATCTTGTTAGAATTGTACGTTCTCAAAAAACTCCAAACTAATTACTCAGATTCTTCAATCAGTGACAAGGCTATTAAATGCACTTATGCTCTGATTTTATTATTTAAAACTTCTATTAAACTGTCAATGAGTGTATTCCTTATTAATAATGTATCATCTTCCTATGAGGCAAACATTAGATTCTATATAGAAAGGGTTTGACCGTTAAAAGGTGTTGTATTTAATATTCTGTAGCATTTTTCTTTTTTTTCTAAAAAAGCTGATTCTTATAAATGTTCCAAATGACAGTCTAGCCCTCTGAACATTTTTTATATGAGAGTCCTTGAGATGTCTGAAAATTTTAATAAAGTATCTATCACCACTAAAAGGAAATAGGGGTCTTTGACGAAATGACAGATTCCAGGTGTAGAGCATGCAAAGTACCAGGTGAGCTGGGGATATCTTCTTGTGCCAGAAAACAAGGAAGTGCTCAAAGACTAATGGGAACCTGTCATAGGACACAGAAGCCAGCTTGAAGGGGCTCCCCCCGCTGGCCATGTTTGGGTCAATTTAAGAATAAAAAATATAGGGCCGGCCGAGTGGTGCGATGGTTAAGAACTGGCTTGGGACGCCAGAGGGCCCCGTTTCGGATCCCACATATGAGGGCCAGTGACACTGCCCTCTACAGCTAAGATGCTGAACAACAGCTCAACCTGGAGCTGGGNCTGTAGAGGGCAGTGTCACTGGCCCTCATGTGTGGGATCTGAACCGGGGCCCTCTGGCATCCCAAGCCAGCTCTTAACCAATGCGACACTCGGCCGGCCCTCTCATTGCAGTTTTAACGTGCATTTCTCCACTGGTTAATGTTGCTGAACATCTTTTCATGTGTTCTTGGCCATCTGTATACCCTCTTCAGTGAAGTGTCTGTTCAGGTCTTTTACCCATGTTTTAATTGGACTGTTTGTTTTTTAACATTGAGTTTTGAAAAATTTTAATATAGTTCAGATATTAGTTCTTTATAGGAAATTCATTTTGCAAATATTTTCTCCCAGTTTGTAATTTGCCTTTTCATCCTCTTCACATGGTATTTCACAGAGCAGTTTTTCATTTTAGTGAGGTTTAACTTACCATTTTTTTTCCATTTATGGATCATGTTTTTGGTGTCAAGTCTAAAAATTCTTGCCTAACCTAGAGCCTGGAGATCCCTCCTATGCTTTTTACTTTTTTGTAGCATAGCATTTGTTGAAAAGGCTAGTTTCCCCTCATCAGGTTGATTTTGCATCATTGTCTAAAATCAGTAGGGTGTATTTGTGTGGGTATATTTGTGGGCTCTCTATTCTGTCCGATGGACCTGTGTCTCTTCCTTGTCTCTTTCATTTTAATTTTGTGTTTTTCTTTGACTTCTGACATTTAAAATCATAGGAAAAATCTGTTTTGATTCTGTTTCTGAAAACACTGACTTTCTTCTCTTAGGATGTAAGAGGAACAAAACAAACAAACAAACAAACAAACAAAAACTCAGACACAGACAACAGTTTAATGGTTCTGTGACTCCTAGCTCCATGTTTTTTCCTATTCCATCTGCCTCCCCTGTAAGAAGAGAACAACATGCCGTTCCCTCCTCCTAACAAGGAGGAATAGAAGACTGATGATAGTGGCATCCATTCAATATGGCCTCTCTGAGCACCTACCAAATAGCATACCTTGTGGAAGACCTATTCCAGAATTTAAGAGAAAACAATGTTTCTGGCTCTAAGAGTTCATGGCCATTCCAAGACACAAGATCATCTGAACTGAGGGGATAATGGTTTATGATAGTGTATGATAAGGCCTGGCTAAGGACTGTAGACAATTGAGCTTTTGGCTGTAAGTCACAGAATACTCAAAGGTTGAGTAAGACACTTAGTATCTCAACAAGCCCAGAGTTAGGCAGGACTAGAGCAAGAGCTCGACAATGTCATCAAGAACTCTTTTTATCCTTCTGTTCTGAAGTCTTTGATGTGTTTCCTTGCTTCCTCATATTTGTGCCCTCATGGTTAAATATGGCCGTCACAGCTCCAGGCATCACATCATTACCCTACCATTTCCAAAATAAATGCTAAGGAAAATTACCTAAACACACCAAATAAAAGGGAGAGTAGATTTTTAAAATAACAAACAATATGCTGTTTACTAGAAACTCACTTCAAATATAAAAATGTATATAGCAATCCCTCTCCTGGGTATCTACCCCCAAAAAATCTGAAAACATCTATCTGTAAAAATATATGTACTCTGATGTTCACTGCAGCATTATTTACTGTGGCCAAGACATGGCAACAACCAAAGTGTCCTTCAATAGATAATAGGATAAAGAAGATGTGGTATACATACGCAATGGAATAGTGCTCTGCCATGAAATACTGCCATTTGGGACAACATGGATGGATCTTGAGATTATTATGCTAAGTGAAATAAGTCAGACAGAAAAAGTTGAGAACCATATGACTTCACTCATATGTGAGACATAGAACTGAAAGCAACAAAGGAACAATACAAACAAACAAAGAAACAAAAACTCATAAACACAGAGCAGTTTAATGGTTACCAGAGGGTAAGAGGGGAGATGGTAAAGAGCGTCAAATTTATGGTGATGGAAGAAGAACTGACTCCGGATGGTGAACATACAATGCAATACATAGATGATGTATTATAGAAATGCACACTTGGAACCTATGTAATTTTACTAACCATTGTCACACCAATAAAATTTAATTTTTTAAAAAAGTTAAAGGATGGAAAAAGATGTGCCAGTTAAACACTAAGCATTAATATCAAGGTATTCTCAGAACAGAGTATTACCAGAGATAGAGGTCAATTCTTAATGAAAAGAGGATCAACTCATGAAGAAGACTTAAAAATTCTAATAGAGCTTCAAAATATATAAAGCAAAACTGACAGAACTAAAAAAAGAAATTGGCAAATTGGCAAATCCATTGTTATAGTTAAAGATTTCAACATCCCTCTCTCAGTAATTGAAATAAGCAAATAGAAAAACAATAGAAACATAGAAGTCTCAAAAAAAAACACAACTATCAACCAGCCTGACATAAATGACATTAAAAAAAACCCACTGTACCCAACAACTGTAGGCTACAAACCTGCATATGGAACATTTACCAAGACAGACCAGATGCTGGGCCATAAAAAACATTAGATTGTTCAACATGGGCTCTCCTTTATGCTTCTCTTGGAATCCTGAAGGATTCCTGAGACTAGCATTCCTTCAGCCAAGAGCACAGTTCAGAATGGGAAAAGATGCAAAAACTGGTCTGAAAATCATTGGCATCAGTGTTTTCCTAATGATTTGTATCAAATCCAAATATCCAGAGGATACTTATTAAGAAACAAAGTGATGGCTAAGAAATACTGACTTTCAAAATTTTTCCTTGATTCATTGAAAGTACATAAAGAGATAGGGTCTAAATACTTGTATTAAAGATATTTCCAGGGCCGGCCGAGTGGCGCGATGGTTAAGAACTCGCTTGGGATGCCAGAGGGCCCCGGTTCGGATCCCACATATGAGGGCCAGTGACACTG